ATCAATCGGTTCATGATCTCAATCAAAAACTGAAGGTTGGTAGTTGGAAATGATGAGCAAAAACATTTTGAACTTAAGTTTAAAAGCAATTGAATTTATATCAATGATACGAATAACACTGACATTCAGTCAAAATTGATTTTGACTATTTATTACGATGTTTTACGAAATTTGTAATGTTTTATTCTTAACCTATTTAGTTTGTTCCATTGATAGACTGTGATATGATTTTTTCTTAAAATTTGTGTGATTTTAGTTAGAATACCAAATATGAGACATTATAATAAGTTGGTGTCTCTCTGTGTGTGTTTAGCTTACAACTGCTCATACATGAATTATCTGGTTAAAGTAATCATAGTCAACGGTAGTTCTCATAGCCCCCGAATGCCCTGGTACGGTCGAGAATGGGGAGAGTCAGCTCTCCCTCTCCAAATGCTCTCATATGGCCACGTATATATAACCACTGACAGAGAAGCCATACTCACTACCTTCACACAGCACGAGTATTGTTTACGAAATTGAGAAAACGAATATCGAATATCTGGCGCCTTGACCAGGTTGGTGGACAAGGAGTGACCACGAGTCTCCATCTCTACGAGTCTTCCACTCCCTTGTAGATCAAACATTTAGGTAGAAGGCTCCGGTTGTGGCTCCCTACGAAAATCACCAGCTTTGGTGTGGGCACCTGGACAGTATCACAGCCCAAACACAAATCAAGTGAGTTGTATAGCACATATGTAATCGGTGCAACTTTATACCAATATTTATGTGTTCAAATAAATAAATAAATGTATTCCATATTCACATTCCCTTGAGATAATCGACGAACCCATCTTCTTACAAATATCACCTATATTAAAGTATTTCACTATGGTGATTTACTTATTACATTTTATAAAAATGTTAAACGTTGAATGAATAGCCAAAGTATGAAGATTTTAAAGTAACTTTTAGAAATGGAATGGTAAATTTTAAATTTCATCGTAATATCTCCATGTTTTAAAGTAGTATGACATTTTATCACAATCGTAACATCATATAAAATTTTTAATAGTTGAAATCATGAGTCAATTGAAGCTAGACTACCATGAAAAACATGGAAGCACTGGACGGCTGTTTCGTCCTAGTATGGGTCTCCTCAGTGGCAGCACGCATCCACGATCCTGCTATGGTGCTCCAGCTTCAATCGACTCATGAATTCAACTACTAAAATTACTATAATATCTACAAATCCCCTTCTTATATAAAATTGTTGGAAATCATGAACCGTTATGTCTACTGTGTATATACTGAGTTTATTCGATTATTCATTTACTTATATGTCTTAACATTATCATTCATAATGCTTAATATTAGAAAGTTGAAAATAATCAACGATGAACATCAGTATCATGTGCCTTAGCAACTATCATTCAGAAAAATACTTTTGCAACAGATTATTAATCATCTGAAATTTGTAATCTGAGCATTCCTTCTGATTCTGTCTAACAATTTTATTATACTGGTTGGAATCATGAGTTAATTGAAGCTAGACCATCATGAAAAACTTGGAAGCACTGGACGGTTGTTTCGTCCTAGTATGGGACTCCTCAGCAGTGCGAATCCACGATTCTGCACCCCGTGAGGTTAGAACCCAGGACCTATCAGTCTCGTGCCAGGCGCTTAACCAACTAGACTACTGAGCCGGCCGGCATTCAACCGTGTTAATGTCTAACTTCAACCAGTTATAGAATATATTATAATGTGTGATAAAATAGATTTTTTCAGTTTCGATACTGTGATAAATTACTAGTGAGAAGAACGAGGATGAGACAATAATTTATGAACGACCTTTGAACGACACTCAAGTGGCCTTGAGAATGTTCTCCTACTGACTAGGGTGGAGTGATTGATAGAGGGGTAATTAAATTTACAGTTTTTTTTATTATCAAGAATTGACATTAGACTAAAATCATAAAATGCTCTTTAACTAAATGGATAAAGAATTTTACATTGAAATGCAAAAAGACCTTGTTATTCCTCAATCTGATTGATTTATCCATATTAGTTTCGATAGAAGGAGAATATGGTTCTTTTTTTGTGAAATATGATTATATTAGACTAAACAAGCACAGCATGTAATTTACATTACACTCATGGACAATATATATAGAATTAATAATAAATTATAAAATATCCTAAGGCTGTTTTAAATTTCATAAATCAGTTAATAATGACAATAGAGTACTAAGTGTTGGAACTTTTTATCACAGTTTATGAGATGAACATTATTGACTATTATTTAGTTCTCTTAAAGAGATAAATATATCTCTTTATTTCTACCAGAAGATTTATGTTTATTGTATAAATCTATATAATATGAACTCCATCTGGAGCCCCCTCCTCCTCAAGCTACTGCCAATCCCAAGCTCGGATAAAGAAGGTAGATTGGATATGGGATTAGCGTCCCCATCCAGTAGTAAACTAACTCACTAAAACTCAACGTTAATCATATTATTATCAAATTCTTATAGCATAAAGACCAATTGCCTTGGGCATTTTTCATGGAATATAAACAGAAACTCTTTTGTATCGAATAATTACTTTTCTTGTCTACATTAAATATAACACCTTTATTAATTGTTCAAAACTATTTGATATATTTGTGAATTTGATATAGCCCTTCAATTTGTAACCATCTCTATATTAGAATAAGTAAAGTATATCATTGTTTTGAAACGTCAGAATGAAGGTGTTCACAATTAATCATAAAAATCTAATAATATCACCCTGCCCCTCTTAAATTAATTAATTAATTAATTAATTAATGACGGTAGATCTGATAATAATCCAATTAATAAACCACTTCATCATTATGATCATCCAATCGTAAACTTATATGGAGATATAGGGGAGATTCATCAGCAAATATAAAAGCTTTATAACTTAATATATATTTAAGATTTTTGTTTACTTTTATAGTCGAACTTTCTAATATATCTTTATTTCCCATTGTTGTTTAGGACTGCAAATGATCATCAATCTCTTATTGGCATATGTGCATCCTATGTGAACTACTTCGATATTGCCTTAAGTTATAAGCATTATAAATAAAGATGGATAGTGATTAGCAATGGAATCCAGGACGCGCGTCTTCGTCCTATTTGTGACTCATCAACTGGATGTACATGTGTCTGAGTTGATGTTCACTCCAGGTCTCGAACCCAGGGTATCGTTCGCTCCAAACGCCATGGCGTTATCCACTTAGCTATTAAGTCCTGAAAGACATTTGCTTGTTGAATGTTAATGTTATATTTTTGTAAAAACCCTGTTAGGTAGAAAGTTAATTTTGAATGTTTCACAACTTAGTACAAGTTACTTATTCAAGTTAAATTAACACAAGTTTAAGTAGTATATAAGTATCAAGCAAAATAAATTGAATCATGTGGATATTATATCATTCCGGTTTGGATAATTCAATATATGACGTATTATGGTATTTGTGTATACGCTAATGAATGTAAAAATATGTGACATTTGTAATATGAAAGGATAAGTTTAAACATGTTGATGTTTACAGTATGAGAAACAAGCAAAGTTGAATACAATTTTTAACATTACATTGTAGAAGTTGATATAGATAGTCAGAACATCCTTTCTATCTTGACTATTTTGATTTTAACAGTCTATCTAACGCTTAATTTATTTGAAATTACCTGGTAAACGTCGGTAATGGTGTTTGAATTACAATTATTGTAGGTGTATGTACATCTTCCCACTCTTAGTAATGTCTTGTATTTTTACTTACTTCGTTACGCCTGTTACTCCTCATAGAGGAGCATAGACCAACCATCATAAGTCTCCATCCAACTCTGTCCTGCGCTATCCTTTACAATTTTCCCCAGTCGCTATTGATCCTATTCATGTCTGCTCCTAATTCCCGACGCAGGTTATTATTCGGAGTTCCTCTTTTAAGTTTTCATTCAAGATTCCAAGTTAGTGCTTGCTTAATGATACAGTTTGGTGATTTACATAACGTTTGTTCTATCCAACCTCAGTGTCTTTTCCTAATTTCCATAATGATCTAGCTTTAATCGACTCATGAATTCAATTAGTAAATTTACTACAATCTCCACAAACCTCCATTCCAAAAATAAGTGTTACTTGACCTTCGCAAAATCAAAATAACTAGGTCTGTATTTTCATTTCACCCATGTTACAAAGTAAATTAATATGAATCAAAATAATAATTTCGTTTTAATTTCAATGATTACAAATTTTCTGAGAACAAAAGAATGTTCAATCCCAACAGGAACTTAAAAAAAAATTCACTTGGTATTGTTTGCTTGAATCGTCCCATTGTTGTTTAGGACGGTAATTAATGTCTCTTATTGGCATATGTGCATACTGTGTGTATTGCATCGATATTGCCTGAATTCATAATCATTATAAGCAAAGATGGATAATGGCTAACAGTAGAATCCAGGACGCGCATGTTCGTCCAATTTGAGACTACTCAGCTGGATGTACTTGTATCTCAAATTGGATGTTCATTCTTGGACTCAAACCCAGCACCGGTTATTTCAAACGTCATCACGTCTCAGAGTGAACACGAACTCTGAGTTGTGAACACATCCAACTGACCAGTTTCAAATAGGATGAAAAGCGCGTCCACTACTACTCATTATCCATCTTTACTTTCAAAAGAAATTCTTTAATTATGTTTGATAAAACTGTTCACTTTAAACTTTAATAGAAATAATGTGTTTTATTCATGCTTCATTTAACATTCAGACACTTTTTTTGGGGGGGGGGACATAACAAACTTGTTTGTAATGTTATACTCCATAAATATGAAGAAAAACCTGATTGGTTAATAGACATCTAAAAGCTCACATCTGATTGGTCAATGTTTTGAAACCAAGTTATCCGCCTAATTTAAATCTATCATATGATTGGTTAATTAAAATTGCCTATAATCAAATATTACAATCGTTTAATTGGTATTCTATGAATCAGATAAATACTTGCCAACATTTAAGATGATGTTACTCAAAAAGAAGAAAAACAAAACAAAACCAAGAAAAAAACTTGGATAAAATCTCCTCAAAAAAGGTTTTAACAAACAAACAAAAACAAACATTTTCATTATCAATTAAATCAATGAATTGGATAGTTTATTTGAACCAAACCTTTTTACTAACCAAAGATAATCTCGTTTAATGGAACTTTGTCATTACATATATAGTGAATAAGAATGTCTTTAGTTTATTTATTATTTCAAAGGACAGTACCAAAAATAATATTTGATTGAATAAGTAAGTTAATGTTTGTATTGTATGTTTGTTTTTATTATTCAGTTTTATCTAAAAGATATGATATAATATAAATTGAACAAAATCATATATATTGAGGTTCGATTGTGTACGACCTCGCGAGACGGGGTCGTGGATGCACACTGCTGAGGAGTCCCACAATAGGACGAAACGGCCGTCTGGTGCTTCCAGGTTTTCCATGATGGTCTAGCTTCAATTAACTCATGATCTCAACTGTTTAAATTACCACAATCTCCACAAAGCCCTTTCTGATAATAATTGAATTGCTACATAGTTTTATTATGTAACAAGATTAATTGTTTAAGTTATATATTGAGTAATACTTGGATTGAACGAAGTGATATATTGACTGTTTCATATTTTAATAAGTCGATTGACTATGGAGAATATTAGTTACTTACTTATGCCTGTTACTCACCAGGGATCATAGGCCACCGACTATTTTTCTCCAATCCACTCTGTCCTAGGCCTTCCTTATTAGTTCCATCCAATTGTTGTTCATTTTTCTGATGTCTCACCATTTGACTAGCGTTTAAATGAATGTTTGTAAATAGTTGTCATTTCTTTTATAGCACACAAATATTCTACGTTGTTGGAAAGATTTCAACTTTCAGAGGGTTACATTTTTTACACATAACACATTGAATTAACACAGATAAATATATGTATTGAATCGTAGAAGTAAATTGTTTTTTTTTTATTTTCAGCTTATAATGTTACAAACATAGTTCATCTTTCATCACATAAAGTAACATATAAAATGCGGTAGATAATGATAGGAGAAACATCCAAGTACACTAAGCTGGATGGTTTGGTTTTGAAGCTTTCATCAGTCTGCGGAAAAACATCATCAGCACAAACGATGAAAGTTTCACAATCAAACCATCCAGCTTACAGAACAAAACTCCATCAAAATCATCCACTTGAGTTACAAATCTTCTCAACCTTCTCATATTCAAGTACATTTTATTTGAACGTTGATATTCATAAGCATACTAATGACATATTTTTGTGATTTTCCTTTGAATGAACCATTTTCATAATCGCAATGAGCAATGTTTAACAAAATTATGTATGACTTGAATAATAGACGATTATAAAAATATTAGACAGGCAAGTTTTTTTTCAGTCAGAGCCTACATACATAATTAATGATACAGTAATTAATAATATAAAATGTGATAGCTGACACCTTATGTCATGCGAAACATGATTTAAATATTCAACCATTCGTACCGAAAACAATGAAATCTTTATCCTTTTTAATTACTTAATCATTTATTCAAGAACGATTTTTATAGAACCTTTTGTCTGTTCCATCCTATTAATTACTTACTTATGCCTGTTACTCCTAATGGAGCATAGGTCATCGACTACCATTCCCCAAGTCACACTGTCCTAAGCCTTCCTTTCTAGTTCTATCCAATTGTTGTTTATTCTTCTCATGTTTGTTTCCATTTGTCGGCGTAATGTTTTCTTTCGTCTTTTATTTCTTCTTTGGCGTTGAGGAATCCATGTGAGGGTTTGCCTTGTGACATAGTCGAGTGCTTTCCTCAATGTGTGTCTTATCCATTTCTAGCGCTTATTCCTGATTTCTTACCCCACTGGGATATGGTTTGCTAGATCAAATTAATTATGCTATGATAGCCTGGTTATTGTTTTAGCCATTTGGATTCATGTTCTGAGTAGATGCATATAATGTTAATCAGTTAAATGATGAAATTAATTAATATCTGAACCAATTTTTTTTTCCAAGAAACATCCTGTAAATTATACATAATATTCACAATAATTATAAGCTATTGGTTTAAAAGAACCTTTATAGATAACAAACAAACATTCAATGTACTTAGCATATTACACTTCTGCTACCATACAGTCAAATAATAAGTAAACAGTTAACACTGAGATAACTGAAACATTATGTTTATTTGTGTGGTTGTCTTCAGTGATTTTTCTCAATAGTAAACTAACTCAATAAGACATGTGTTTTGACATTGAAAATAGCATAAAATCCAATACAAGTGAATTGTTAATACTTTCAAACTGTTTAGTGTTATTCATATTGTTCACATGGTTACAATCAGTTACTCATTACCTATCGAATTACCAAAAGAAATGAAAAAAAAACTTGTTGCTTAATATATGCATAATCTCATATAAGAATTGTATTTATCAAAGACATCAACTTTACAAGCAATGATGACCAAAGAGCAGTAAAAAGTTTGTTTTCTATTTGTAGCATTGTATATCCTGATAGTGTAAAGGTAACATACTCACTACGAAACTTCTGATCTGGTACTTAGTCGTTCTCTTTAAGTTAAATTATCTTTTAAAAAAAGTAACGGCTTGATGGTCTAGTGGTTAAGCGCTCATGCGTGAGACTGATAGGTCCTGGGTTCGAATCTAGCGAGGTGGGATGATGGATGCGCACTGTTGAGAAGTTCGACAATAGGACGAGTTAGCCATTCAGGGCTTCTAGGTTCTTCATGTTGGTCTAACTTCAGTTGACTCATGATCTCAACTAATGAAATGACTACAATCTCCTTAAAACCCTTTCTGATACTAGAATCTGATAAGTCTTGAAAAAAGTAGCAATTAATTTTAATTACTTTACTCAAGGTGAAATATCCCCAAAACGATATCAATAATCTGTAAATAATCGAAAAAAAATAGTTAATGTGTTCATCTAAATGATCTAAAAAGCAATTTTATTTCTCTAAAAGCATTTCTATTTACTCACTTATCAGATACAACTTTCCGTGTACTTAACTATGAATCATACTTAAAGTCCAAAGAAACTAGTGACATTAGCCAAAATGATATAAATGGAGATTAGATCGAAACTGGTTATCGTTTTGTTTTAGCGAGTTAGTTTCCTACAGGATGGGGTCGCTAACCTCGTATCCAACTCTCCTCAATTATCAGAGCTTGGAACTGGCAATAGCTCAAGAAGTGCTCCAGGAGGAGAATATTGGTTGGCAGCCTATGCTGCATTGGGAGTAACAGGAGTAAGTAAGTAAGTAAGATCGAAACTGTAACTTGATAACTGAAACTTAAATGAGTTATTCATTAAGCCATCACTCCTCATCTAAGAAATGCATCAAATCCATATTCTTTATTTGTATGCTGTGACAGTAAATAAAACACAAACAAACATGTAGCGAATACATTTTGATATGTCACTACTCAAACAATGATTGATGTAAACTAGTCATTAAATTTACCTGTTAAACTACACTATTACATTCATTCATCTTTTAGTATTAAACTTTTCTATCCAGAAAATAAACATTTGCTTCAAATATTTGAATGAAATACATAAGATGGTGGTTGAAGGTATTCAACAGGAAACCATGGATCCGGGTTTCGTGCTATTTCGGCACCCGTCATCAAGGTATACCTGTAGTCTTGAAGGAACTGATACTCCTTGAAGGATTCAATCCTGTGTCACTCAAATTCACAGTCAGAAATGTAAACTCTGAGCTATCCATCTCACATATATTTACAATTGATTGATTATTAGGTGGCAATCAATCTCTGATCCTTCATAGTGCAGATCAAATCCTATCGTTCAAGTTGTAATATGAGCACTAGTTTGAGTGATTTGATTGACCTTCTATAGGAGTACCTTCAAACACCATCTTGCCTCAATATAATGCACTCAATATTGAGTCACCTAGACTAGTGGCTACAAGTGCAACTTGATCGATAACATTCAATCTGCACTAAGAAGTACCTGTAACATATCACCACTCATTGAAATGAAATACATACACAAACTTATCATTATTCTTTGTAAACATTCTGAACAAAGTTCAATCACTAAAAATTCTATTATTAATGTAGCCTACATCAATGTATTGTACTTAATATATTACTTATAATATATATATACAAATTCATTAGACAACAAGTGTTTCTAATGGCTTGTATCAATTAAGGATACATGATAGAATAGAAGAAGCATGGATTCTTTCTCTTTTTTTTATATTTTCAACACGACGACTAACAATGGTTAAATATATCTCACACACGTTACACACATATACATTTCACTAATTTAATACATTTCAATTAAGCTTATGATATATATATACATACATATAGATTTAGGTGAAGTCAGTTGTTTCGCCTGTGTTTACTCCATGACTCATATGTTAACAGTGCACAATTCTTTTACAGTTTTTTTTTCTCTAAAAAGAAAATATGGGAACTAATGATGAAAGATTGGAGTCAACTATATGAAATCATGTTTGGTTGTGTTTGTTTTTGTAGTAAATTTGACGCCTTTTTTAGACAAATTTGCATAGTCACATATAACATAGTTGCATAGTCTCAACAACAACAACAAAAACAAAAAAGTCGTTTTTTTCTGTAAAAAAATTGTTAAATTAGTTTTCATTCAGAAAATAGAAGTAATTGTAGTGAATTGAAACTTCACTCGATTTCACAAGCAGATGGCTATCAGGACTCAGTAACTAAGTGGATAACACGATGGCGTTTCAAGCGAACGGTAGTCTGGGTTTGAGTCTCAGAATGAACATCAACTCTGAGATGCAAATACATCCAGTTGACGAATCACAAATAGGACGAAGACGCGCTCGACCCGGATTCGATCGTTAGCCATTATCCATCTTTGCTTATAAAGCTTGTATATTAACGTAACATCTAGGCAATATGCACAGGATGGATATATGCCGATAAGAGACTGATGACCAATTGCAGTCTTAAACATCAATGGGAAGATTCAAGTGAAACAAAGCCGAGTAATTGTAGTTTCTTTTATAAAAATTCTATACTTGATCATAATCACAGTTGGTTGATCACTGGGTGGCGATCAATGTCATGCGTGTCTAGTCCTTGTTAGTGCAGATCGAATGCTATCGACCATGTCACAATGTGGCCACCAGTCTAGGTGACTCGACATTGAGGGAACTATATATTGAGATTAGTTGGTGGTTGGAGGTAGTCGAAAGGAAACCATGGACCCGCCAGGGAGGACCAGTTCCCTCAAGATTACAGGTACACCTTGCTGACGAGTACGAAGTAGCACGAAATTAAGTAATTACGTAACATTAACAAATAAATTTGATTTTTAACAGAATGAGGTTTTTGTGAAGATTGTAGTAATTTTGAATAGTTGAATTTATGAGTCAATCTAAGCTAGACCATGATTGAAAATCTGGCCGTTTCGTCTTAATATGGGGTTCCTCAGAAGTGCTCATGTAGTACTCGAGTTAAAGACCTTCGGTTTTGGGTATGAACGCTCATCCTCTAAACCATTGAGTTGTCATCTAATGGTGTTCATGTCTAATTTTAACAAATACACGTTATTGGGCGACTATCCACCACTTTCTTTAGTGAGTAACTGCCTCTTTCTGGTTCGAGTGTCACGTGCGTGAGAGACCGTGATGCTCACTACTGAGGAGTTCCATACTAGGACGAAACAGCCGTTTACTGCTTCTAGGTTTTCATTGTTAGTCTAGCTTAGATCGACTCATAAATCCAAATGTTAAAAATTTGATTATATTTTATATTCTAACTATAATCTGAAAGAGTCCATTTATGGTTGGTTTGTTTTATTTAATAGAGCAGTAAAAATTATAATACAAAATACACACTTTTGATGAACTTTCGTTCACTGAGCTGAATGATTTGATCATGGAGCTTTCAGTTCTACCTGAACTTTGTGCTGATGATATCATTCAGAAGAACAATGAAAGCCCCACAACTAAACCATCCAGCTCAGAGAATAAAACTCCATCGAAATCATTCATCTGAGCTACAAATCTTTTCCATCATCCTTAAAGTATACACTTTTAGTTTTCTATTTAAATTCAGTAGTTAAGTTTATTTTGATTATTTTGTAGTATCTATGATTGTTCAACACATTATTCAAATCAGTTTAGTGATTATTAAGATATCTCATTTACATTTATATGATTTTTTAGTTGTATAATTTATTCCGTTGTTTAATCATAATGATTTCACATTATGTAATATGTGAATAATACTTTATAAGAAATAACTGATATGAAGTAATTGAAATATATTGGATTCGAATCCCGCGAGGCGGGGTCGTGGATGCGCACTGTTGAGGAGTCCCACAATAGGACGAAACGGCCGTCCAGTGCATCCAGGTTTCCCATGGCGGTCTAGCTTCGACTGACTCATGATCTCATCTGTTTATATTGGATTAGATTATTAATTTTTTAAAATACTGGATAAGGAAATGACTAACTTCTAGATGAATTCACTGGAGTTCTAATGAGAAGCTGTGACCAATGTAGTTCACTCCATTTCAGGAGGAGATACTTATTCAATTCAGACAATAGATGAAGGGTTGTGCAATATGATGAGTTGATTAAAGTTAGACATGAACTCCCTTTGATGCTGTGTGGCTCAGTGATCTTGAGGTTAAGCATTCGCACGTGAAACTGAAGGTCTTTGTTTCGAATTGTACGTGTGGGATAGTGAATGTACACTATTGAGAAGTCCCTTATTAGGGCGAAACGGCGATTCAGTGCTTCTAGGTTTTCAATGGTAGTTCAGCTATCATAAACTCATGAGTTCGACTGTGGAAATATTACAATCTCCACAAATCTCCATACTGATAAACAGTTTGTTAATTAGTAATGATGGCTTTAAGAGAGTGATGTTTATTTTATTTTCATGTAAACGGATAAAAAGAAATATTAATCAAATGTTTCCTTCAAAGTTGGAAGTTCTCAGCAGTACCTTCTCATCATTATGGGTGAATAAAAGTCTGACATTAAGAGCTAACTTTTCGTATAAACAGAGTCAAAATAAAATCTAATGAACTCATGTACAATAATCTTTTACACAATATGTCTTACTCAATAAAAGTTAATTAACTGACTTAGGTAACTAATTTACAAATTACTAAACTTGAATGTGGTTGCCCGATGCTGAAATTGCTCAAATTTTAACTACCAAGTCAAGGATCTGTTTAGGCAGTTGAATAGTGTCACTAGTATTCACATATAGATCATGGCTTGAAATCAAATCCATCAATCTGTACTTAGTCAATGAATTCATAAATAAAAACATCAAATCAAGTTAATGTTGTAGAGTGATTCAAACCCACAGGGTTTCTTGACTAAAATCTCCCATTACCAATGCTAAAAAACCGTTTTACACATACAGATGCAAATTAACATTTCATAGAAAAATATTCAGGTTAGATATTTACCTATGAATTAGATATTTACTCACTATTCTATCACTCCACATGGAGCCCCTCTGGGGCTACTGTCGGTCCCAAGCCGGAATAAAAGTGTGAGCATGAGGTTAGCGACACCATCCAGTAGAAAACTAATTCGCTAAAAAATGCTAGCAAGAAAACACAATTTAAATCATTTAAACTCTGGCCTGAAAGTTAGAAGCTCTTCATTTCGAAGAGTTATAACGCATCATAGTGAATGCCAAGTTCCTTCGGAAGTCACGAGGCTGATACCCCTCCTGAAAACCATAGCAACCATCCATTTAGATACATGTTATGCTCGTACAATGTAGGAGACTGAGAGAGTCTTCCAAATTACTACAGAATACAATATGAAATAACTTCTTCCCAGTTGAATAGGTGTATACAATGAGTATCATTGGGAAATAATCACTAAACAGACAAGTCTAGGTGATGTAATAACAAACATTATGATTATATTCACATTATATATATATATATATATATATATATATATATATATATATATATATATATATATATATATATATATATATATATATATATATATATATATATCAGAAAAAATGATGCCCTTTCTGACAACCAGAGCAACCATTCATTTAGATATATGGAATGTTCGTGTAATATGGAAAACAGGAATAGTCATCCAATTTGCTGTGAAAATGAAAAGATACAATCTGAAGTTGCTTGGATTTAATGAAACACATTAAACTCAGATTGAACAACAAAGTCTAACATCAAGATAGCTACTGATTTAATTTGACCATGATGAAGAAACTACTTTACAT